ACGCGAGGCAACTGCACCAACGCGAATTCTCGCACCTGACCACCGTGTCAGCTGTTATTTATCATTATCTCTATTTATACATATAATATATACAGTACAATATATACAATTCAAACTTTCGTAATAAAAAATACCGTCGATTCGATCACTCTGTGTACTTTTTATCGTTGAGTAAGAAAAACGCAAATTTATGCATAAATTATAATCGAGCGACCCTCGATAACCGCGAAAAATAGAAATGTCGTAGCTTCTAATTTGCGTTTTATTGCATTTTATTAATTTCAACAATTGCGAATAAACAATTGATCTTAGGAGCGACATTATAAAAAAACAAAAAACAGATGTAATAGAAAATTCAGCTATCAATTCAACATAGTCACAATAACAAATGCACTTTTCTGACGGATCTGATATGGTAAAAATATTTTACTCATTTCATCACGTTTATCCGCCTAGTAAAACTTAAAAATTACTGTAAAATTTACGGTATAAAGAAGAAAAAATAGCATACAGCACACGGCGAGACGAACGAATAGGAAACAATTATCAAAAAAATATTATATTGGCGTACAAAAAATTTACAATTATTCATTAAAAAATTAAGTACGTTCAAAATAAAAGCACGCCAATAAATAAAATATTTCCGTTCAGTACAAACTCTATGGCACTAAGTATTCACGTTTTAAATACTACAACTTATCCGTCCATCTCGCGGTTTGAAAGCTCACATTTAAGCACGTTACTCAAAAACGTCAAAGTATTTTTTATTTATGTAAAAGACTCTAGAAACGTAATGCTCTGATTACAATTAAAATCTCAATTTAACTAGTCATCCGTCACTAGTAAATCTTTGTTAAAAATATACAATTTTAATAAAAATAATTATTATTGGACCATCACGATTTAGTTCTATGAAATGAGTTTTAAAAACTTAAGTAATAATATTTACTTAATCAAACTTAACACAAACCACATCCGAATCGTAACATCACACAGTTGTACAAACAACGTTGTATTGAAATATTTTTAATCGATGTTACAATCTAATAATTATATATGATAATAATTATTATCATTAAAGAATTAATAAGCGTCACTTGCACCAATAGAGACATACAACATAACGCATATATCGCGTGCTTACAATTATTTATTCTAGTTAATCATAGCAAGTATGCGCTGAAATGACATCAAGTTATTGTATTTTTGTTGTTGTCGTTATCAGAAAGATTAAAACAACCGAGATGTTGGGGAAATCGCCATCTCGGCCCTAGGTTCGGTACTCGTAACGACATGGGAGTCCGCACCAGCAGGTGCACAGAAGAGTGTCCACCCTCACCAAATAACCTCCGTACTTATATATTTTATACTTTACAATTAGATATGAATAGATGAAAAGTGCACGCAAGATGGCATGGCACATTGTAATTGTCAAAGCGCGTGAAATTAATTTCTCGCTCGAATGCCATTGCCTCCTTTAAGTCTGACCCGTTCGTAGGCTAGTCGCACAGTACCACTTTAGAAGTGGTAAAATACCGCTCAAGGCCCTTCTAAGTCATACTTTGATGATTTTTTATTTTCAATTTTTAAACAAAATTTTTTTCTTTCAACTAGTTTAGTTGGCTCGTTTTCATTGAGTCGTTCGTACTTCGTGTCAGTCGTTGGTTTTTCTCTCACTCTCAAGCGAAGGGTTGTCGTCTCGTGTACGATTTTACTCTGTATATGCTTATGTGTTAAATGTGCGTATGTACATAACTAATACGTATAAACTATTCTCTTAGTTGATACAAAAGGTGTAGAAAGCAAGAGCTAAAAGCCCTTCGATAAAATCGTATAACTTGTTCGCTCTGAGTCTCATCTATCTGTACCGTGTCTAATGTAGTGTAACCTTATTTCTACTGCTCGCATATATTCATAAAATGTGTAACGTTTGTTTTCGTCCGTGTGTGCATCTTTCTCCCCTTATTTTTGATTCCACGTGCATAGAAATGATACATACGAATGAACGTGTAAACGCGTACGTACGTGTTTACTGTGTGTGAGTGTGTGTGAGTGTGACTCTAGTTCTGTGTGTCAAGGTGCGTTTTGATTTATAGGTAAGGGTGTAACGTGTACGTGTGTTATACCGACTAGTCGCTTTTTTGACGCACACGAGACATCGAGAGGGGAAAAGCCAACGCGCTGCCACTGTGCAGACGTACACCCGTATGTGTATACTCGTGTTTTTTGCGCTCGTGTAAACTAGAAGGGCCTGATAAAGGAGGCAAAACAGCGCACCAAGTGCGCTCGACATCCAAGCTTGCTTTCTCTTATTTGCTTTGTCATCATGTATAATGTAGTCTTTTTTCTTCGACTTCACCTTTGCACGAATCGAAGCTATTTTTATTGATTTATTAATTGTTTTTTTTACTTATTAATATGGGTCATAATATAAGTACGGGGGCTTGGGAGGGGGTGGATCTCGCACGCCCTGCCGGCCAGGACTTTCTACCTCACACAACTCCCTAGTTACGAGTACCGAGACCTAGTAATTTTATATAGATCGCGCGGTAGAACACCTAATTGATGATATTTTACAATTTTACAACGATAATTGTTTTGTTTTTAATTTATTTGGCAGTTCTCTTTCTCTCTTATACATGTTAGTCAATTTTTTCATTTTATTATTTTTTTTTTTCAAAACATTTTAAAATGCTTTATACCTGGCTCTAAGATTACAATCGATGCATACGTACTCTTCTGACATATATATATTTTTCAAGTATCTCCCTATAACGCATGTTGCACGCAGCTTTTTTGGCAAACCGCACACAACTTTAAATTTTATTTTGTGTAGAAAAAAGCCTATTAACAAGTATGGGCAATCTCTCAAAAACAGAGATGCCATATTCGAGTATGGTAACCTAACAGCTACTATACGATTTTAAAAATTCTAAACTCTAGTATTACACGCTCACGATCACAAATAACTTGTGCGAATCGTTTTAATTTATTATATGATTAAAAAATATTAGATTTTAAGAATAAATACTTATGCGATAATTACGTATATTTTCGATCACCATTAGATATTGACAGATGTCTTGAATATCTGCGTTTATAATTATTCAAATATATTTGTGTTGACACGTCGTGCAAGAAAGTTAATTTCTCATTTCGACGCGATTCAAGTTACTTTTTAATCGAACATTTTTAACGATTAAAAACACATTTCGAAAAATAATGCGCGAAAAACGCCGAGATCCAACGTATACTTTTTGTTTGACGCGTCGCGAGAAAAACGCGACAGTTTCACATTCGCCAGAGATAATTTGGAATATTTCAGTAAAATAAAAGAGAACAAGTCGAATAGTCATAACTTTCGGTTACCTCTGGTCAATGTCGAAACATACTACTGACTCTAAACTTTGAGCTTAATCTAATTGACTTTTATCGAATGCTACTGTACAAAAACAAAAACAAATAAAAGCGCAGGCCCACGCAATGCCCTCTCGAAGAATAACATCGTAAGCGCGAATAGCCGATCAGAGTATTATGCCTTCTTTGTTTGTCCCGTGGCTCGACTTCAAAGACGCGTTTGAATAAATCGTGTATTTGTTGTCTTTTACAATCGAGGCGACTATTTTTTCGAGGAGCATAGGCAGCCTCGATTCGTAACCTCAGCTACAGACATTTCTGCCAGTATGAATTTGCGGAAAAATAGCTAAGAAGCGACAGAAATCACACGCATGCGCGTTTTGGGTAGACGACGAAGGGTTATCTATTGAGTAAAGCGTGCATAAAGGATTAAGAGGAGCGACAAGATTTTATAACAAGTACATTCTTCAATAACTGTGTAAACACGAAAAATAGATCAAGTATGTAAGCATAGAAAAAATGTGTTGAGAGGTACTTTTACGAAAATAAGAAAAAATAAAATAAAATCATGAAGAAGTCATGTGGGAGTCTAAAGGTATTTAAGTGCAACAACGAGTAGTATTTAATATTGGAATAGAGTTCAAAGGCTCGAGTTTGAAAAATGTTTCATTGAAAACATTGAATCAGCTCAGTGACAACAGTTGCAGAGTAAAAAAATAGACTGAAATAGTAGGATCTTTCATAAAGATATAAAAAAGCTTTTGAGTTAAAATAGATAACAATGGCAACCACATCGAAGACAACTGTCTGATCCGATCGAAGAAGCGCGTGAGTTCCAAGTCGCGTCACCGAGTGCAATCGAGCGTCAAGTTTAATTTAACAAAAAAAAGCATGCGCTGCTGCTCGTTCGTCTAATCAAAGTCTCACTCAGAGAGAGAGGCACGAATTGCATTCAGACTAGAAGGAGTCGTCGTCGCCGGCTCGATTCATTACAGAAGGCAAATACTGTGACCGTTATGGAAGCAGAAAAAGAGCTGGTGCGGTCGCGCGCGCTCGATCGCTCGAAATCGCGAATTCAGCATAGTTTTTGTCGTCGTCGTTATTGTTGTCGTTTAGCTTTAAAAGAGCGCAAGAGATTACGAGCACGGATAGATGGCGGAGTGATAGGCGGCGAGGGCAGCGTGCGCGTGCGCAGGGGTCGCGGATGCGTGCGGCGCGGAGTTGGCCAAATGTGCTGCCATCATCATCTGCTGGTGCGTTCTCTTTAGGGAGTTGGGAGTTGTGGCGGCACTACAAGACGTCGTCGTCACGACTCGGCTATTGTTGCTACTGAGGGTCGTATTATTGAGACTGGCGTTACTGAGGTTACTGGCGGCACTGCTGACGGCTGCGTTGCGAGCAGCTGCAGCAGTGCTGCTGCTCCTCTGGCCGTTACTCGCTTGGCCGGCGGCGGCATTCGACGTCGACGGAGAGGGTGTCGAAGCAGTAGTTGCTTGACTTTGGCTGCTCATATGCGTAGGGCTACTTTGGCCTAGGTGGTGATTCGATTGGTGGTGGTGGTGGTGAAGTTGTTGTTGGTGGTGAAGGTGGTGGGGAGTAATCGCGTCGTGCGGATAATAGGACGAGGAGGGCGAGGTACTCACGACGTCCGGCGTGCTGGCTCCGTCGGTGTGGCTCGTGCTGTCGGCGGTGCTGCGAGGTCCGCCTTCCAAACCGTTGCCCAGTTCTGGTGGTTTCGTACTGTCCCTGTCGTCGATCACCAGGTCGATGGGCATTTTGCCCTTTAGACAACTGATGTACCGGTGACAGAAGTTATCACACAGCTCGTGCACCTAGAAAATAACACAACGATTGGGTTAAATATCTTCCTCGTAACGATTGAAAAAATTTTAAAATAGATCTATTGGGGAAGGTTTCGATAGATCTGAATAATTGCAAAGCGGTTTGTAAAGTGTCTCGACCAAATGACCATTACACCCTTGGTATAAACGCGGTGTCAGAAAGAGACATCGTCCGCGGTGAGAGGTACACGAACGTCTCGAGATAATGCTTGATATTTATGAAACCCTTCCTGATTCTCACTTGGTGCGAATGAATTGGAATCACGCAGGTTTTTTTTTCACCACACAGTCCTGCGCTCGACAGGCCGTTGGTGTTGTTTCTATACGTAACGAGTATATCCCGTCGTTTCTCTCAGGATCGAATCGTTTTCTTCTCACTGCAAAACTGTCTGAATTCGTACATATATGTATGTGCCGCTGCGCGAGTGTGTATGTGTACGCGCGCGCGTGTATCAAAACGTTTCTTTTATCGCCAGCGAGAGGAGCGCGAGAGAGGAGGTCTTACGCGCGCCAGTGCATGAGACTATAGTACGGAATTTTTACGAGCGAGGGACGCTTTTTGCTGCATGTCGCTGCTGCTGCTGATGCTGCTCCGCTGCTCTTGCTGTTTCTTCTTATAAACGTTGACTTCTTGTTGGCTATTGCAATGGGAGAGGAGCGATGCGATTAACGCTGGCTTTTCGGGACAGCGTGCATCGATACACTTGGCTCGCCGGTGCTGTACGAGACGACCAACAGCAACAGTGAGAATGATTCGGAGTAGGCGCAAAAAAGACCTCGAGCTCGCTTCGTTCTTTCTCTCGTTCTCTCGTTCGCGTATATGTGGAAAAAAGTCAGAGCGCGCGTGTGTGCTTGTGTTAGTATGTGTGTACGCGTGTGTGCGAGAGTATGTGCAGGTACCAAGACGATGTGCTGCTGCTCCTGCCGTGAGGGAAGATGAAAAAAGAAAGAAAGAGAAGAGAGGAGGTTTGACCGGTGTCCGGTCGACCAGAATGTTATGTATGCAAATGAGGACTGACAGGCCTATAGGATAGCCCGTTCTTGCTCGCTCGCTTATTCTCTTTCCTTCCACTTTTTCCTTAGACTAGTTTTTTTTACTCTTTCTTTTGCAACTTTCTTTCCCTCTCTCTCTCTCTCTCTCTCTCTCTCTCTCTCTCTCTCTCTCCTCTCTTTCACTCCGATCAGCTACGTATAAACTGGACAACATGCAGCGCGCACGCACACGCACTCGCACATCTTCTTTGCGTGCTTGCACCAATCGATCGGCCATCGAGCGCACATGCAAAATAGCATATATACTCGCGAAATGTATTAAAAGTCGTTATCTTGTTATATGTTAATCAATGATTGCAGTAACGTCGTCGAGGCTTCAAGCGTTATTAGGTATAGCGTCTGTCGTCCTCGTCCTCGTCGCGTAGTAGTTTTTTTTTTATCCCGCTTTAATGCGTATACATTGGCGCAAAATAGCAATCATCATTTTATATAGGCATACATGTACACGAAGCAATGGCCTGCGCGAGCTGCCTCGGCATCCGTGAATGTTCTTCCATTATAATATTTACATGCAATAGGAAAAGCAACTGCGCGCCAAGACCAATAATTCGCGCGTCTTTGGCTTTTGTCTCTTTCTCGCACACACACACACACACACGTGCTATACGTGCCATATTGTGCTAGTGCGATTGTAATGGCGCGCGCGCGAGAATAATAATTGCGTCCGTTGATGTTGCTTACATATACCACCTCGTGATCACATTATATATTTATAGTAGTGGAGCGTGCATTTCTCGCGTCGACTATTATTACACGTATATATAGCGAGCAACGAGGGGCACAAACAGAGACAGAGAGTAAAAGAGATAGAGAAAGGGAGAGGAGAGCCGCCGTTGTTTTACGGGATAAGCATTTTATGAGCGGCTTCCCTTTTAGTCCTCGCAAAGCCCGAGACATTTGAATTCAATAATACTGCGTGCGCGTACCTGGCATACATACATACATATATGTGTATAGATGCGAGACATTACAATAATACTTGGCTTTATCTTGAAATCAAATTTATCTATAGAGACCAAAGATCGCGAACTGACGTCTTTTTGCAATTCAGGTGCAGTATGAAAACAATAGCGAATTATCAGCTCCCGCAACAAATCGATCTCGAGGGTTAAAAGTATCTCAGAGCTATGCGTTATTTTTTTATAAAAAAAAAACACCGTTCCATAATTTCGATTTCGTTCGAATCAGCGGGAAAATAATCAAACGATGACCGTCGATTTACTGACTGATTTATCAAAAGTCCACAATTCAAAGGGATCGTGTTGGTAGAAAGAGAAAGAGAGGGAATGAGATTTTGAAAAATACCATTCATGGCCCGCTCAATGACTCGAGGGAGGCATAAATGCGGCCATGAAAATAAATCCAAACTGCTCGTTCTTAAAGTCGCGTATATAGACGCGCGCGTGGGATGGCGCTTCGGGAGCGAAAATGGAAAAAGCCACCGAACGAAGTGCAGAAGTCTATAGGTCGTAGCGCCAACCCAACTAATACTGCATCAAATTCAAGGGGGTTGGATATTATACTCGCCGAAGAGGTTCCTCGCGGCAGGAAGTCGTTGATCAAGCATGGCAAGCACAAAATTCTCCACGGGGGTGGTAGAAGTCGATGCCGAAAGAGGGAGAGATCGGTTTCGCTTCCGGGAATTGGATCGACTTTTTCGCAAAGTGTGCTTGCGTATCGTGTTCCGCTGAGCAAGCTTGGCTTGCTTAGAAAATGGTTTTAGCTACCCATTTACTTATATGCTATAGCTCTGCTATAATATAGGTGTTGCTTCGCTGAAATCATTTTTGTCGGTTCGGAAGCATTGGATACGACTGCGGTGCGGCCGCCGAATCAGTCGAGCGAAGATGAAGATCTCAATGGCTTCGAAAGCGAGTCGGGAGGATAGTGAGTCCGATGGTTATACACCCATTGGCTTTTGGAATTCAGTCGATATTTCGCAATCTTTTGACACGCGATCCGCGAACACGACCCTTCTCTGGCATGCACCATTGCTGTGACTGTTGTCGTTGCTGCTCTGGTTGTTGCTACATTACTCGTGCATCGGTCATCAACGGAGGAAAGATTCGAGCCATCATCTTCCAACATACACACTCTTGCTCGCTGATACCTATGTACATATGCAACATATTCGAGTGCAGAAGGTGGGCACCTCTGCTTACTGGTAGCCTCCGAAAGAAAGATTGCGCAGGCACAGAGAGTGCAGAAAGGAAGTATACGTGTGTATAGGTATATGTCGAGAGAAACAAATAAAGGAAGCATCGAAAATGAAAGGATTTACGATCGGAGCTTTGTGATCCTGTGCTGGTCTCGCGGTTCGACAGGATGTAGTAGGAGAAAACAAGAGCGTGTTACATGTGCGCGCGCGCGAGCGAGGAGCTGCACGAGGAGTAGCGTATGTGACTGAAAGAAAAAAAGAAAGAAAAAACAAAAAAAAAAAATAAAGCCGAACGAGAAACGAGTGTAACTGGAAACCTCGGGAGGAGTTCACGAGTGCGGGACGACCGAAAATTCACTCAAGGTCGTGAAGCAAAGGTGTCTCCTAACGATGTACTTACACACCGACTAGAAGATGAGTCAGTGGCTTGGCTTTGCACGTGCATACAGTCGGCGCATCCAACACTACGAATCAGCTTGTGCTGTGCGCGTATCCGCAAGTGTCCACGCTTTCGAATCATCTCGAAACGCATGATAATGCAACGGTATAGAAGGGGGTCCTTGAATCAGCGATCCAGAACTGCTCGATGATTTAGGAGCAATTTGATCGAGTAAACGAAATACCTACGCGCGAGCTGCATAGCGTTTTTATGCCCATAGCACAATACTTTGAATTAAACCCTGCATGAAAAGAAGCTTTTCAGAAGATTAAAAAAAAGGGGTCAAAGCAAAGAACTTGACGATACTTCCTGCACGCAAGGTACAGCGTGGCATGTAATTCGAGATTATTCCTGCTTTATGGACGATTTAACAAGTAAGGAACAAGTAGTATGGTCTCTTTGCTGCACGAGAGTTGCGCGAGTACTCGAGGACCAAAAGAACGAGCCGCCGATGAAAGTTCCCTCACTTGAACCAATGAACACCAAGTGCACGTGCATGGAAAAAACAAGCACCCGAAGGGTTTGCTTTAGCGAATACTAGAAAACTCTCTTTTTTCACTGCCCTATACCTTCGGCAACATTTTTGACTCCAACGGGCCAGAAGGGAGATATTTTTGTCGCTTGCGACGTGGGCAAATCTAGTCGCAAGAGTGCGTCATAGCATCCATACAGTCAGAAAATTCAGTCAACATTTTTGTAAACTGTAGCTAGAGAAGCCAAGCGGAACGGGGCGCCGAGCAGTTACTGCCTTTGCCGATGACATTTCCCGCGCAAAATTTTTTTTTATTATTATTTTATCTGTTTATGGCAGTGTGTCTCTTTTTGTCTCTCTTACTCTCTCACTTTCTGTTGGCTCTGCGGTCCCTAGCTCAAACTTATCGAAGGGATCCCAAAACGAAGATTGAGACGAAGAAAAAAATGAACGCTCGCGAGTCCAAGCCACCCCATTTTAAAGTACAATGGGCCTCTCTTTTCAGGCAATACAGCGAGAGAGAAAGAGAGAAAGAGAGAGACAAGTAATGAAGGGATCCGTACGAGGCTCGTGTATATATACGCACATGTGATTTTTCCTTTCTGCTCTTAAGCACACATACACAGACGCTCGCTTTTGCGAAGAGAGAGAACAGAAGAGAGAAAAGAGAATGGAACAGATTTGAGATCTTTTTTTCCTGCGTCGGGTCCAATTCACTGGCAAAGACCGCAAAATTATACCGGGTGTTTTTCGAAATTAAAAGGTATACACAGAGAGATGTACGGACTGCAGAGACCAACACTTATATTATTATAGAAAAGCAAATGAATGGTAAATGGTGCGGTTGGAGATTTATGGCATGCTGCGTTTGGGACTTTAAGATTGAATTAAACCTTGCGTTTAGCTTCGAGTGTGCAAGAGAGATACAGACACGAGCGCACAAAGAGTATGACTGCATCTATATCGTCATCGTCCGTCTTCTATTTGAAACAATATAAAATCCATAAACGAAAGCCAAGTTCAAACAAATACGTTTTTTACGCTCTCTCTTGTGATAACAATATAAGACTGCGGCTGGAGGTAAGAAAAAAAAAGTGGGATCGAATGACATTATTCGCGCGACGAGCAATGACAAATAGCTCGGGCGCCACGCCACACGCAAGAAAGAAAACGATCGATTTTACGGAAGAATATATCATTCATAAAGCGACATTCATAAATTCTTCAATTACCAAAGGAACTTCATAAATCTTTGCCGAGAGCTGTATAAATAATATGAGTGCGTACAGCTATAGTGATATTGCGTATAGCTATTGCGGCCTGCACGCGTACGTGATAGTGTCGCGGAGCTCATACATCATCGATTAAAGGCGGCGCGTCGCTCGGTGTCGGTCGCAGCTAATTAAAATCCGCGCCAATCAAGACATCAGAAATTGGCAATATTTTCAGGTATATATATAAAATCTCATCGCTGCCGGCCCCACACGAAAAGGAGATGTTTGCGCAATTTTCAAGGAGCGGCATTTTGTTCGCCATAAGCGCAGGCTCGCGTTTGGCTCTAGAAAATGCACATCAGCGCAGCGCGCGGTGTCAGTGCAATAGCAGCAGCGGCAGCGGCAGCGCAGCACTCTGTACAAGTGTAAAAAAGTGCGCCCGGTGGTAAGAGAAAAATAACGAGATTGGCCGCAGAGAACCAGTTTCTCCGAAGCCGCGAGAACGCGTGCTGCACCAAGAGGTATTATAAACAGACTCGAGGAGGGTGTACACACAGATGGCGAGCGCGCGCGCGTAATACCTCCTTCTCCGTGTGTCTGCGTGTGTGAATTGTGTATACATACACTATACAGCGAGCAAACAGTGTATGGCGCGCTGAGCAGAGAGAGACCGAGAGAGAAGAAATTGGCCGCATTGCGCGAACGGTGAAACAACGACGTGCCGCATATCAGCCTGATGTACGCTGCACTGCTCTTGTGAAATGCAGCGCACGAGAGAGGATGGATTTAAATTGCACCTATGTACAAAAGCTCTTGACTAGCGTCTTTGAGCCTTAACTATTATATGCTTGTGTTTACTATCCTCGGTGTTATTGGTCAACGGCTCAAGATTACCTTGCCACCTCAGGAATTTCGACGATCGTTTTTTATTACATTGATAAAAATAAACTTGTGACAAGAGGTTAGGTTCACACCATCAGAAATAAAGAAACGAGCTGAAGTCTGCTTTGGAGATGAGCAATTATCGTCTAAGATCACAAATGCAACCTGCATTCACAGGTCATGTGTACTCATAATTTACTCATTCATGTAATACTGATTTGTAGTTCTGCTCCGAGTAATCTCAACTCCAAGCGTTTGCTGAAAATATAGCATTTTTGAGTCAGTGCACGCATCCGTCTATATGCGCGTCTATAGGCTTGAGATCGCACTTAACTAGCATCCGATGACGAATCAGCATAACTCTGGCGCCTCGAGGTGAACGAAGAAGAAGACGAACTCGGGCGCAACGCGCATTTTAGGGTCAGTAGAGCTCGTGCCACTTCTATTATCGACTATGCAGCTACTTGGTGTCGAGCCGTGGCGTCGGGAATAGAAAATATGGCCGCCGACGTCGCCAACGCCACATTGCACACACTCGAAATATCGTCCCGATTTTATATACGCCGGTACACACACGCTATGCTCTCTCGCGCGCGTGCACTGCACGATGCAGCCGGCCTATCGCGCGCTGCAGCCGAATTGCCGTGCGCTTGCTGTTATACCTGTTATTCGAGCAACGATTTATTTAGCATCGAACCAAGAGGAGAGAGAGACGGTCGCACAAATAAAAATTTCGTGCCCTCCAGGCCCCGACGTATATATTGCTTAGTAATCTGTTGTGTACGAAATGAGGAAAATTGCTATAAAATTGCGCCCGATAAACCTGCCGTGCGCTGCCGCTGCGTGCACATGCATATATAGCAGCGAAGATGGCGCACGGGGAGAAAGTCGAGAGGAAGAGAGAAAGAGAGAAGCGTGCACGCGGCCATCTATACAACACACAGCCAGTGCCGCTGCCGTCAGCTGCATGCATACCATTTCGATGGAAATGCGATGGATGTCCGCTATTTTGTGTCGATAAAATATTCGAGCCCAGCGAAACAGATAAAACGACGAGAACGAGAGAGAGAGAGAGAGAGAGAGGGCGAGAGAGAGAGAGAGGAAAAAAAGAAGAGACTATATAAGCGGTGCATCGGCAGCCGAGGGCTATGTTTGATACAAGGGGGAGAGTCTCTATGCTGCAGTCAAGAGAGAGAGAGAGAGAGAGAGAGACGCCTCGAACGCCCATTTACATGATTCGCGAACGCGAATCACGATATCCACTCATCTCGTGTTTTTTTCCACCGCGCGCATACCAATGCTCGTGATGGAAATTTACATTAGATATATAATCACGGCCAATCTTCGGCATTGTGAGCCAGATACGCGATGACCGTGAACGCGCCAGCCTATCGGTTTTCAAATTATGGCGTAGTTATCGGCTAGTGGACATTTAGCAAATCAAAAGGATGCTTTCCACTTTGGCAGCGAATCAAATTCACGCCGCCCTCCAATACCTCCCGTAACCAGAAGAGAACCGACATTTTGAACCAATTTTTGTTTAAATTTATCAGCTAAATGTTACAGTTTATAATATCAAAATTCATATGCTTACCTTTTCAAGTTCGAGAAGATGAAACCGAAGGACCTGAATTGCTTGGACCATCTGTAAAAGGGAAAATTTTCATTAGTCATATGAAAAAAATATCATAATTTTCAACATTTGTGTACTAGTATAAATCTATGTAACTTGTACAATATTATAAATCTTATATGCAACAAAGTTCCTTTCTTTCTCTCTTTCTCAACGTCATTTTTCGCATATCGCAGCTTGTACGTGCGTCGTAAAGTTGCTTTGCACGCACTGAATCATCGTCATTGGCCCGAGAAAAAAAGCTAGTCATTATTTTAATTAATGAAGCTCGTGCAGATTTTCTTCCATGCGCAGCGACGTACATTCGAGCGCATCCGCGATTAATTAAGACGCAAACGCGCAAGTACGCCTATAAGCGTTCATGTGTGTGTGCGCGTATAGGTAGGTGTAATAAAAGAAAAAAGAAATGAGACGCAGTGACAACTCTTTTATGCGCGTACTCGTTGCAGAGGCTAACGGTACACAAGTCGGTTAAATAATTTCCATTTCTGTTGATTAATGAAAGGGCGAATTATTTTTTTTTTGCGCGTGCGATATAAAACTGCTATATGTGCGAATGTTTCGAGCTCCTCGCAAGACGTTATAGGCTATGCACATATGCGAATAGCATGCGGGAAAGTTTCAAGTGGTTACAAGTGGACTGAACAGTCGATCACATTATACTGAACGACGATGGCTCATACATAATATACTTCCATCAGAGGCTCGTTGGTGCTATAATAATCAAAGTGATCTGCTGCTGCAACAAGCCGAGAAGGCTGCGCGCGAAGATTCTATCGCGTCTTATGCCTCTTCCTTTCGCGCTTTTTCTCTCTATCTCGCTCTATCTCGCTCTTCGCTCGTTCACACATGAATCCGAGCTTAGCTGCTATATGCCTCGGCATGGCTCACAGATACATACACGCCAACTTGACTCGATGGCAAAAAGCGAGCGTGTGATTCGAAAGAGTTGTAAGCGATCGACTCGTTCGATTCGCTATGTACCGCGCGCTCAGATTTACACGAGCAAAATTCATCGATCAAATTTTCCGCTTGCTTTGTCATTTCTTCAAAAAGTACCAAGGCGCGCGCGAGACATCAAACAAAAGCCAACTGAGAAAATGAAAAAAGGAAAATATTCTAGCTAGCTTGCACAATGGATGCGTACGAATGCAATTACAGTAACAAGCTCGAGAAGCGAAAACAAAGCCCCCAGACTCGCTTAGTCTTGGCGGTGCGCGCACGAGTGCATTTGCGAAGCTAGATCTCGGCATAGGCAAAATAATTAAAGGGCAAAAACGGACGGCTAGTACGCGCGTAAGCTAGTAGGTCTGCCGTGGCGCGAATACCACCCACCTCACTCGCCACTCTCGTCCGCATACGCACATCAAAATGAATGAGGACCATCTCCGACAGACGAATGAAAAAAGAGAAAAAAAAAGTAAAGCAAGACAAGTGTTGCCTCGTATGTACACGCGCATACGTATGCAACTGCACTGGAGTTGCATTCGGAGGTGGCCTCTATCTATATAGCCAGCTCCGAGGCTTCTTATCCGCGAGACCATCATTATCCGCGCGCTCATACACACGCGCGTTGAAGACGCTAAAGCGAAGAGCCGCTGCGTAGTCTCTCACACTTTACGTACAATGTCTCCTCTATGTACGTCGACGACAACTGCACACAAGACGATGACCGAGATAGAAAGTATACTTGGGGCTGGCGCGGGTAATATTAATTACGCGTCGCTGTGCACGCGGCAGAAGGTTTCACTGGCACAGGCAGTGCACTGCGGAAGGCCCACGAGCGAGGCGCGAAAAAAAGGCATTAAAGAGGAAGAAAAAAAAGCTGGTGCTACCGGAAAGGAAGATACGTGCGAGCAAAAAAATAGAGGAGGTTCTTGCGGGGCATGCGTATGCGTAATGTGCTGCGGCGTATTATACGATTCATGTAGCGGCAGCAACAGCAGAAAAGCTGCATAAAGTCACATGGACGGATTAGAGTCGATGTACCACTTCATTGTGCGCCTGCAGATCAGATCTACGCGCTTGGAGTTTCACGCGTTTTATTATTGACGTTACTTTTAGACAAGACTTTTATTGCAGCTCAATGACGGAGATTTTTAATCGCAAATAGACCACAGAGGCTTAAATTGTGTGAAATTAATTGTCTTAAAAATAGAAAACAATAGATATTGATGAAGCGAATTCTACTCTTGTTTGGCTATTACGAATACATATCTAGCTTTGGAAGAATGAAAAATTCAAGCGGCAAATTGCTTCTACACGTATATATTTCAGCATTGAGAAAGAGAGAGAAAAAGAGAGGAGCGAGCCACGCAGTGTGTAGTAAACACTTTCATTTGCGCATTATATACACGATCGCTTCTATTATATAAATATTTGAGCGTGTGCACGAAAATACATCCGTTCACAGCATTAATTTAAGCGTTTATAAACACAGATACACAGACACATGTTCGCACGAATGACAAAGGTGCACGTGCATAATTAACAAGCAAAACGAGCTCGCACAGTCAACCAGAGAGAAAGAGTGAGAGAGACGTGATGGAGTCATCGCGCCTCGCACAAACTGCACTTGGCTTTCTTTTGATGCTTTTGCAGTTTTGTCCGTGTTTGGGTCCGAATAATTGCGAATGAATAAATGTCAGAGAAGAGTGAAAAAAGGGAACAATGATTCATTCAACTTTTGCAAATTGCTTTTCATGAATCCTTCCGATCGGCGAAGATACAAAAAAAGGAAGAAACGAACTGTCAAACGGCAACGACGGACCATAATAAATTAGATATTATCGGGATATATTATTCTTTCCTGCTTCGACACGCAAAAATGCCGATGCAGAAATTTAAATTCGAAAATTCGTGCGGATGTTGAACGTGCAGATCGCGTTCGTGGCAGTAAACGCCGCACAATACACAAAAGGGATGCCCTCCCATGTAAGAAAAGCGATCGAAAGACCCTTGCTGAATTGCTTTGGTGGAACGAGGCAAGGCGATCACGACCCTCCACAGCAACAACATTTAAATATTATTACAAGCATAGAAGCGAATACGTGATACAGTATACACTAGCAATTTTATGGAATAAATATCGATTGAAGCAAAGAGATCGCTATCTTTGTCTGCACATGTTTGATTTACTTCGGTCTGATTTAGTAATGCATATGCATGAATTCAATTTAATCAATTAAATGTGCAAGCGATAGTTTATTAAGCAGGAAAATAAATCAAACCAGAAAAATATAAAATAAATGCTCATAAATAGGATTATACGAATGAGATAGAACTTAGCAGGGTTGGGGGAACGATCCAGCCACTGCAACAAGTGCCAAGATGTCGCACAGTGCACGTACACTATAAAGAGCGTTTAGCTCTGCAACAGCTCTAAACGTAAACACAGTGAAGTCAGGGCTCTGCGTATGTTAGCCTGTACACCATTGTTATTATTGACGTTTACTTTGACGCGGTGACGACACCTACTACGCTGTATTTACATTTAGAGCTTTTGCAGAATCAAACGCCTCGTATGGTATACGTTTACGCACATAGTCAATATCCAGCACGTGATGCCGGGATGGACCCTTAATGCACGTCGAGTCAGCTCTATATGCATATGAATAATTTAACGTCAAACTTATTGTCTCGCAGTCTGCGTAGATTGTGTGCGTGAGCCGCGCCACACTCGAGCTCGGGGAAGATTCAGCTCGAGGTTTCGAGACGACACGCGGTACAGCTTACACACACACACACACTCGCATAAAGGTCTTTGCATACATAAATATATGATAGAGCGTCGTCATCGCGCGCCGTCGTAACTTCGCGTGCGCCACCACTGCCACCATGGCCCATAGCAGCATCTTAATAGCTGCTGATTTATGATTGCAGTTGAGTGTAATATACACGCCACACAAGCAAATCCTTAAACGTATGTAAGTGTCGTGCAGACGAACACACATACACACACATAGGATTGCATATTATACACGAGCAGCTCGACTCTCGGTTGTAATGTGCCGAAACCATATCTTGCCAGTAAATGTTTTTTTTTCCTCCGTGCGTTTCTTAGACTTCATTTAGATTTTTCATTTTATACGAGACGAGCGATCGCGACGCGTACTCCACGCTATTTCGGCCTTGGTTTAATAATAATTTCGGGAAAAAAACCGAAACGTTCGATAAAACCTTGGGTCGTCGAGCCGTCGTATTTCATCGAAGCTGCGCGTCGAGTATAAAAGACAATTTTGCAGCGCTCGCGAGCATTCGGTTGATACATACACACACATACACAAGTGACTGTCATGCTTGCACGCGCGCGAAATGGGCGTGCATAATATTTTATAGTTGCAAAAGCAATATGTAAACAAGAAGAGAATCCCATAGAGTGAAAGCGGCGTGGTCAGTTATAAAATAAGCTGCCCGCGCACACGCGGCCTCTCTTCCGAACATTATAAGCAGCAAAACGAACGAAAGAGCGAGAGAGAAGGCCAGCAGTAAAGTGTAAACAAGAAGAGTAATAAAAATAGTAATAAAGGGACAAACGAGAAAGAGAGAGGTGCATAGTGTACGTGCACGCGAGGAGTGTGGTCAACTCTGTTCTTGCATGTATACGTCAATGTGAGAGTGTGTGTGTAACGCACCTATGTGCGTGCGAGCAGCTTGGCGAGACTTTATGGCGAGCACCTGCATTTTTGCGAATATTTTGGGGGAGACATTAAAACATCTTTAACGAGCCTCCCGTATAACAAGCTTTAATGCTGTACTATATAGCTATATAATATATATCCATACATAGAAGCGCACACACGCTCAAAATTATTAGAGTAGAGCCGTTGCATCGTCTTTTTCACGCGTCAACTAGTGCAATGTCATTCGAATCAAGGGTCAAGGATACCTCGATCGTCTTTTTGATGTAAAATTAATCTAGTCCTTCGATTTTTACACGCAATCCCTCTTATGTCCCAACACCGTGAAAGGGCCACCCGGAGCAGAAGATCGAGCACGTATATCGCACGCGA